GGTCGGGGAGTGTGGGAGGGCAGGGAGAGTTGGGGCGGAGGGTGAAGAAGGGCAAGGAAGAAATTAAAACAAAATTAAAAGGAAAAATATTTATACAGCACCAGACCACAGCATCAATCTAAAAGCTCTGATGAGAGAACAGCAGTCAAATCATAAGAAAACTGAAAAGAACTCATAGGATGGAGGAAGCCGGCAGACAAACGACACGGGCACGTCAACACACACACACACACACACACACACACACACACACACACACGGCTGTTTATGCAGACACATGATACACTGTGAACAGTAGCAGAACCTTACACAGGGCCACTAAGGGCGTCCATCATGCGTTGGGAAGGGGGGCGGCGTGGGCGGTTTGGCGAGGGGGCCAGAAAAAAATAAAACAGCCCCTCAAACCACCTTGGCCAGCAAGCAGATCGGGGAGCACGGTCTCTGCTTTATATCACCCTCGATTCTTTCTCTGTCCCCCAGGTGCCGAGCTCTCCTCACCTCCCCAGCCTTCTGTGGCTTCAGCCTGTGGACCAGCAGGGGGAACCTGTCAGGGTGGCCCCAATTTGCCAGGTAGGTCAGAGGCTGGCTAAGGCGACTGTTGTATCCGCGGGGTCCATGAGAAACTTTACTGTCATAGTATAGTCCACGCTGGCAGCAACTTGGCCCTCCCACCCTCGGGTCCTCCCTCGGCTGCCGTCCCCAGAGAAGGGTGTCTCCACTGCAAGAGCACCCACTGTATGATTTTATGATCCTCTTCCCTTCTACTCTGCCTCAACCTTCTTTCCTTGGAACCTTCAGAAAATTAACACGTTTAGCTTTCAGATTTACATCAACGTTCTCGGAAGTCTATAGACACACCTTGGCACTACTGATTTCATTTCATGTCACCTGACACCTTTTGCTTTGCTCGCAAGGTGGTTTGCACCCATGTGGCCGAAATGAGGCTGCTTCTGGGCACGCGGAGACTTTAGAAAGCTCTGCAGCTGTGACCCATAAGGCCCTATGGAAGACTGCAGGATGCTCTGCAGGGTAGGTAAGACAAACAAGGACAGTCCACCAGAGCAGGGAGTGCGATGGCCCTAGATCTCTAGCTTCTGCTGCTGTCGCTTTTGATCTGCTGACCTTCCCTACTCCACCTCCTCCTTCTCCGTCCCTTTATTCCTCACAGCCCTCCACGTACAGCTTTCTAAACTGACCTGCCTCACAGGCTTTGACCTGTCTTCTTTACTGGTAGAGCCCTAAATGGCTGAAGCTGGGTTCCATTCTCTGTCAAGCATCATCGAATTATTCTGCTTTGTTGTCTTTTGCACGCCTCACCATGTCACGGTCCTTTGCCCCCAGCCAGGAATCTGGGGAGTCCCCAGCACCCTCCCTGCAGTATTCAGGCCTGTGCCAAAGCCTGTGCCCCAGGTTTATCTGTAGGGTTTCCAATCCACCAGGCTTCTACACATAACCGATTTCCACTCTCAGCTTTGTTTTCCTTCAGGGAAGATGGAAGAGAAGCCTGGGATTGTGAAATGTCACTGTGGGTAAGTTACAAAGTAGCTGAGAGGTGACTGCTTTTAGCGCAAACCTGGCCTCCAGCTCTGCCTTCACAGAAAAGCTCTCCGCCCTTCTTCCACCACAGACCCCTGTCCTGCCTGTCCCTCCAAGATGGGTGCTCTTCCAATAGCAGATCTCCTTCACTCAGACCAGGGCCCATCTGCATGCCCACTAAGTCCTGATATGCCGCCCACCCCGCATTATCAACCCATCCCAGAAGAAAGCCCTAAGACCTACCCAGGATATCCAATTGGCGGGCCTTTTGGGTGGGAGAAAAGGACTAAGAATGGAGGAGGGCCGTGCCATCAGGTGTCAGCTATGGCAAGTGCAACTAAGGGCCTCCCTGGGGACCCCTTCTTTCCCCTCCCCACCCCAGTCCTGAGCACCCCAGAGGTGTCCCCTCTTCCCCACTCTGTTGTCCTCCTCTGCCCACTCCCAGCTTTCCTCCAGCTGCCCTCCAGTGCCTGGCACTGTCCTCAGTGCCAGGGATTCAAGCTGGAATAGTGCACAACCCCTCCCCAAAGCTCGATCTAGGGAGCTTTCCCATACAACTCTTGTCTCTCACACACACTCGGTCCCCGACACACAAACCTACTCACACTCATTCAACCCCTAAAGAGCCTCTCCAGGGTTCTGCATATGAACAACTGATGACTCTCTTCATTAGGGAACAGCTGTGCCTCTGCCTACTGGGGGACCCCTTCCTGGTCACCCCCCTGACAAGCCTCAGAGAGCATAGCCCTCAGAGGTGGCAGCAGGGTCACTGACCAGCATGGGGGAGCTTGAATCAGGCCTGGGAAGCTCCGCTTCAGGACCTGGGTGAAGAAATGATGGCCAGGCTGAACCAATTCAGATGCCAGGTCCTAAACATGAGCAGGACTCCAGTCAGGGAAGGCCCAGCCCCATGCGGATCAGATCTGAAGCACCTGAGCCCGCAAAGCTCGGAGCAGACACTGTGCAAACGCATACTCAGAGCCAAAGCCCCGGGCCCAGAAGGGACAGGACTCCATCCAAGTCAGACATGATACTCAGCGTGTCCTCCGACCCAGAACTGCCCTTGCTTGGGGCCCAGAGCCTGCTAGTGAGCTTGGTAGGAGACAAGGGCCTTGGGTATTTGGCTGCTACCTGGCCATGTCTGTATTTTTGCCCACTCTTCCTGTCTGTTTCCTTCCTCTTAGTTTCCTGGTAAAGATTTTTTGGAGAAACTCCCACCTTAGCATAAGATAATGAGCTCAAGCAGTCAGAGGAGCAGGGGCAGCAGGAAAGCCAGGAACTAGAGAGGAAGGACAGCCACACTCTCAGGAGACCCAACCCCAATCCCACCCACCCGGGCCTCATTTTATGGAACCAAAGCCTGACCACGCCCCCCACAGCTCCCGACAGCTGCCCTGCTGGGACCCTCTCCTTTCCCAGAGCTCTCACGTTCTCATCCTGACTGAGCCTTGGCCTCCAGGCCTGCTGTACCTTCTGCCTTCACCACTGCGAGTTGCCAGCCCTGGCCCTGAGATCCCTGTCCGTGTCACCTCTTTGCTCCTGGGGATGGCTTGTCTCTCAGACCCTGCTCAGGGATAGCCCTGCCCTTCAGAGCACCTAGGATTTATCATTTGTAAACACCCTTTATTAGCCTGTAAAATCGTGCAGTTATGTAGCTGCTTTTGCATGCTATTTCCTCCATCTCTGGCAACTTGACAGTGGTCACTTCCTATTGCAATCTCCAGGCCTGCTCCTCATCTTAGCACCCTCCTTCTGTTACAGCCTCTAATAGTTTTGGGGTGGGAAGCCTGAAAGCACCATGTTAAACTGCTGTCCAGATGGAGATTAAAGGTCAACTTTATTATAGAGTTATGGCACATCAGAGGTTTTTAGAAGACTGCTTAATAGGGAGGAGAAGTGAGATGGCATGACATACCCCTCTGATATTCAGGACAGTCTGGGGTGGGAGCGTTGGAGTGATGACAGCAATGGGGCTTTATCATTCTCCATACATCAGAGAATTAAGAACATAGCCTCTGAAACTAGGCCCCTGGCTTCAAATCATGGCTCTACCAGTAGCTGATGGGCAAGTGACTTAATCTCTCTGCTTGATCTGTAAAATGGGACTAATAACACTATATACCTTATAGGCAGTTACAGCTATATACTTATATATAATAGTTATTACCAATAAGAACTGCTCCACACGGGCAGGATGGTGACCCATTCACCTTTGCATCCCCAACTCTAAGCCCACAGGAAGGTGCCCACGCTCTGAGTGAACATGAGTGTCTGCATCTTCACCCAAGGCAGAGATGGGCAGGGGTGGGAACTCAGGAAGCAAGAGAGGCACGTTTTGGTTTTCCCACCTTGCAGAAAGTGTAGGCTCAGTATCCTCTGCAAGAGAAGGTGAGTGTGGTTACTCTTAGCTAGATAAAGGGTATCCTGCTGGCAGCAGTGGGATTTGAGGAGAGACAGGGAAATTGGAGACTTTCTTCCAAACTCCAGACACTGAACCTCCACTCAAATGCCTAACTCTCACATGCCTGATCTTTCTCCCAACGCTTCTTCATCTCTGGGCATAAAAACTCTGCAATTCCAGCCACTCAGGCCAATAGCCAGGTGTCATCCTTGACTCCTCTTCCTCTCACACCCACCTCTAATTCATTCCAAACAGCATCCTTGGCTCTGCCTTCCAAATACATCTAGAACTCAACTCCCTCACACCATATCAAATGCTGTCATCTGGAGTGAGTGGTCAGTGCAGCAGACATCTGCTTTGGGCTCTGCAGTCTATTAACACGGCAGCCAGTGATCCTGCTAAAATGCAGGTCAGTCACACCACTCTGCTCAGCTCCCCAACGGCTCTCCACTCCCAACCTCATATTAGAGAAGAGGCCTAAGTCCACACAATGGCCTGCGGGGCCTCCACAAGGTGGCCCTCCTCACCTCTGGAGTCTCTTCTCTCACCATGCCTCCAAGCTTGTTTCCCTCCAACCACTTTGGCCTCCTGCTGTTCTTCGAATATACCATGCTTGCCTTGGAGCCTTTACACCGCCTGTTCCCTCAGAGGGCAGTCTGTCTCGCCCTCTTCAAATGTGCTCGAATGTCACTTTCTCAACAAGGTATACTACCTGATTTAACTATAACCAACAATTCTGACATGCTATGTAATTTACTCTTTGATCATATGTCATCGTTTATTGACTCTCTCCCCTGCTAAGGACAAGGATTCTTAACAGTCTTACTCAGGACCGAGTCCCAAGTACTTAACAGTATCTGGTGCACAGTACTATTGAAGGAATGGAGGGACAGAAGGCTGGGCAGCCTTCTGAGAACGAGCTGACACTGCAGGAGCTCACAGTAATGGGGGAAACCAGTCTGAAGGTGGACTTTTGATGCCCTGGCACATCTCTCCCGTTCCCCCTTCCCCAGGAAGCTACTTCACCTAGGGAAACACGTGGTCTGAAAGAGGAATAGCCACTGTGTCTCCAGCTACAAGGCAGGATCCAGACTGAGAAGGAAAAGGTGACGAATGCCCACTCATCATGGCCTCTGTAAAGCAGGCAGAGTAAGTGGCCCCAATGCTATATCATCACCATCCTCAGCTTCTGTCTCATTCAGTTTTGTTTTTGGTAAAGTCCTCTTTGAAAAGTCCTGTCCCTCCTCTCCAGACTGAGCTATAGGGAATTGGAGGGGTGAGGGATCAAGTGTCTAAATGCCACCAGCCCTCCGGGGAGGAAAGTTGGGGAGGGGAGAGCCAGGGAGTCTGGGAGAAGGCCCCAGCAGAGGGCTACAGCTCCCCGCAGAGCCTATTCTGCCGCCCCTAAACTCTCCCAGCCGTGAGCTTGCCATCTGTTCACCCCAGGGTTTTCTGGCGAACAGAATTGCCAGTGGAGAACTGGAGGCGCAGGCTCGCCCCACCTTCTCAGAAAGCTTCCCCCTCTCCCGCCCCTTTTGGCTCTGCGCCTGCCCCCTAGGCACCCGGCCCAGAGCAGGTGGAGCAGGGCGCAGCGGGTCCAAGGCACAAGCCACGAAGATCCAGCCCACGAGTCAGGGGAGGCGGCGGGTCCGTCCGGTGTCCCCTCCCCAACCGCCCATCCCCGCACCCCGGCCGCCCCCGGTTACCTGTGCGAGTCCTGGTCTCCCCCAGGGGACGCTCCCGCCGGCGCTCAGTACGGGCGATTGGCGTCTTTGGGCCGCTTCAGCTGCACCTTGAGTCTCTTCATGCCGATCTGAAAGCCGTTCATGGCCTGGATGGCGGTCTGCGCGCTGGCCGGGTTGTCGAAGCTCACGAAGCCTGGCGAGACACGAGGGACGAGGGCCTGGGTTTCCACTGGGCCGCCCCGGCGGGGACGGTTGGGTGGGGAAAAGGTCGGGGGCCGTGGGCGGGGCGAGGCGAGGCCTGGCG